GCTGCTGCTGCTGCTGTTGTTGTCGTTGCTGCTGCTGCTGCTGCTGTTGCTGTTGCAGCTGAGGCGGCCCAGCTGCCTTCTACCTCACTGCATGTGTACCCTGCTCCCGTTGCAGTAACAGCTGCTGCTGCTGCTGCTGCTGCAGCAAAAGCTGCACGAGCGATGGGGGCCCCCATTGCCCCTCAACCCCCCTATGGGGGCCCCCAAGGGGGGCCCTCAAGAAGCCCAAAAAGGGTCCTTTTGGAGGTCCTCCGGGCCCCACTAATTGCTAAAGACCCCAGGCCCAAGGGGGCCCCAAGAGCTGTGAAACCCAGGGGCCACCTGGGGCCCCCAGGGGCCCCCGGGGGGCCCCCCGGGACCCCTCTAGTACCCTTTTGGCGAGGAAGAGGAGCTGAAGAATAAAAAAAGCTAGTAAAGGAATGAAAAGGATTTATTAATTGAGTTGAAAAGGAAGAAAAGGAACAGGCGGCGTCTCAGGTCCTATAGCTCAGTTGGTTAGAGCATTCGGCTAATAACCGAAAGGTCGCCGGTTCGAGACCGGTTGGGACCACTCCGTTCTCACACTTTAAAAACACTTTTTTACTTTTTTAAATTATTTTCTTCTAATTTTTCTGTTTTTTTGCTTTTAATTTCAAATTAAATCAAGAGGAGCTCTCAGTTGACACACACGGCCGGTGGCGGCTGCGAGACGACGCAGGGGCCCCCTGGGGGGACCCCTCTCAGGGAGCCCCGCTGCTGCGTGGGCTTCAGTCTGTTCAACTTTTTAAAGTTTTTTTGGCTAAAATGGTTTAAATTTGACGAATTAAAATCTTTTGATTCATAAAAATTTGATTTAGAGGCTCTTTTTAGCGCAGATCAGCAGCGGGTAGCTCCAGCGGCTCGCGCTTGCTGGGGCTGCAGGGGGGGGGCCCCAGCGAACCCAGAGAGAAAGCCAAGACGCGAGTCTGTGTCTAATTAATTCACATTTAATCAATTAATTATAAATAACCAGGAATTACCCGATTTAATAAAGCAAAAAAGAAGAGCTTTCGCCAGCAGGCGGGGGTGTGCAGCAGAGAGGCGTTGAGGTGTCGTACACCAGAGCATGGCGGGCCCTCGGATCGGTTCTCCGCGTTTACTGCATCATTTTTTATATTTCTTTCTTTTTCTTTTTTAATTTTGAATTTTATTTCCAAAAATGGACAAGACGAAGACGGAACGACGCAGAAGCCTCGGCCATCCCTCCCTCATGGAGCGCAGCCTCCAGCGCTCCACGCACGAGGTGACTGCAGCAGCTCCGCCCCAGTGGTCCACTGCTTGTCCGCCGCTGCAGCACCAGCAGCTGCAGCAGCAGCAACAGCTACAGTAGCAGCAGCAGCAGCAGCTACACAACAGCAGCATCTGCAGCAGCAGCAGCTCCAGCAGCAGCAGCAGCAGCTGTTGCTGCTGCTGCTGCCGCTGCTGTAGGCCCCAGGACTTCTCCGAAGCCCTGGGCAGATCTTTCAGGGCTCTTCTGCACTAACGAATCTGCTGCCAACTAATCAGCGAATTAATTGGTTAAAAGATCATTATTTATTTATTTATTTTATTTATTTATTTATTTATTTATTTATTTATTTATTTATTTATTTGCTGCTTCGGTGCTGCAGGTGAGCCTGAGTTCCTTTTCTTTTCTGTTTTCGGAAATGGTCCAGTACTCTCTAAATGCAGCAAAAAAAGGATACCGCATGGAGGACAGGTCAATCTGCTGCTGCTGCTGCCGCTGCTGCTGTTGCTGCTGTTGCTGCTGCTGCTGCTGTTGCTGCCGCTGCTAGTGCTCCCTACCACTGCTGCTGCTGCTGACGCCCTCCCCCGCCGTTGCTGCTGCAGCTACCACTGCTGCTGCAGCAGCTGGTGCTGCGGCCGCTCTGCAGCAGCAGCAGCAGCAGCAGCAGCAGGGCTCGTGGGACGCTGGTTTTTGCTGCTGCTGCAGGCTGCACGAGATGGGTCTGCGGATAGGCTACAAAGTGCTGGAGTTGGTGGCTTTTCGCGAAAGAGCAGCAAAAAGAGAAATTCGAATTGTTTCTTTTTTGTCTTTTGTTGCTTCTGCTGTTTGGCGCTGCCTCTTTGGCCGCTCCATGGAGCTGCTGCGCGCCCAAGACACCGAGCTCGAATGTAAACCCTTTTTTAGGGTTTGGGCTCCTTTTCGCGTCTTTTCGCGTCTTTTTGGGTCCTTTTTTCGGGGGTTTCTCGCTCTTTTGTTGTGGATTTTATTCTTCTTTTTATTTGCTTTTATTTGGCACTAATTGCTCTTTAATTGGCACTAAATTGGTGTTTTAATTGGCGTTTTAGGTGCGGTTTTAATTGTGCTTGAGACACAGAACTCGAATGTAAACCCTTTTTTGGGGTTTTGGGGTCCGTTTTGCATCTTTTTGCATCTTTTTTGGTGGCTTTCTTTTTCCTTTTGGTGCTCCTTTTGTTGCTCTTTTCTTTTTGTTTTTATTTTTGTTTTTAGTTGCTTTTGTTTGGCATTAATTGGCTTTTAATTCGTTTTTTAATTGGCGTTTTAGGAGTGGTTTTAACTGCCAACGACACATTTTGGGCATTTTTGGATCTTTTTTTGATCTCTTTTTGATCTTTTTTTATCTTTTTTGGTCCTTTTTTGGTCTTTTAATGTTCTTTCGTTGCTATTTAAATGTTATTTAAATGTTATTTAAATGTTATTTTATTCTTCTTTTTATTGTCCTTCTATTGCTCTTTTGTTGCTCTTTTAATTGCCTTTTGTAGCTCTTTTAATTGTCCTTTAATTGTTGTGCTTTTATCTATTTTTTGTTTTTCTTTTTGCGCCCAAATTTAACAAATCAAATCAAATCAATTAAATTAAATTAAATTAAATTAAATTAAATTAAGTCAAATCAATTAAATTAAATCAAATTAAATTAAATCAATTAAAATTAAAATAAATTAAATTAAAGTGATTAAATCAAATCAATTAAATTAAATTGAATCAAATCAATTAAATCAAATCAAGTTAAACTAATTAAATCAAATCAATTAAATCAACTAAATCAAATTAATTAATCAATTAATTAAATAAATTAATTAATTAATTATTTGCTGCAGACATGCTAAACGACAAAGAACTCTTAACTAACAAATTCATTTCCCCCCCAAGAGATTTGGGGCATCTTAACTGCGGCGCTTTTGCTGCTGGCATCATCGAGGGCCTTCTCTGCAGCGCAGAATTCGTCAGTCTGCTGCTGCTGCTGCTGCTGCTGCTGCTGCTGCTGCTGCTGCTACTGCTGCTGCTGCTGCTGCTGCTGCTGCTGCTGCTGCTGCTGCTGCTGCTGCTGCTGCTGCTGCTGCTGCTGCTGCTGCTGCTGCTGCTGCTGCTGCTGCTGTTGCTGCTGACGCTGATGCTGTTAATGCTGCTGTTGCTGCTGCTGCTAATGATGATAACGCTGCTGCTGCTGCTGTTAATGCTGCCGCTGCTGATGATGGTGATGCTTATGATAATGCTGCTGCTGCTGATGACGATAATGCTGCTGCTGCTGATAATGCTGCTGATGACAACGCTGCTAATGATGATAATGCTGCTGCTGGGAACGCTGCTGCTGCTGATGATGCTGCTGCTGCTGATAATGCGTGCTGCTGCTGCTGCTGCTGCTGAGAGGGGTGCGGCTGGTGGGGTGGTGCTGCTGCTGCTGCGGGTGTTGGGTTTGTTGCTGCTTATGTTTCGATCTTGCTGCAGCAGCAACTGCTGCTGCTGCTGCGTTGCCGTGAAGCTACAGTCTGTATCCCTTCTCAGTACTGCTGCTGCTGCTTCTGCTGCAGCCTGCTGCAGTGTCTGCACATACAGTGGAGGAGAGCGCGGGAGTGACTTACACAACTTTTTTAATTAAATTATTTCCGGAAGTTTTGGAAAGACAAAAAAGAGTGGCAGGAGCAGCAGCCCTCTCTGCCTAAACCCTAAACCCTAAACCCTAAACCCTCGTGGAGTCGGTCGAGGGTTGTGGGGCCGGCGCGGCACCGGCACTGCAGCAGCAGCTGCAGCAACAGCAGCTGCAGCAGCGCTTCTGCTGCTGCTGCTGCGCGATTCGCTGCAGCGCTGGCTGCTGCTCCTGCTGCTGCAGCAGAGCGGCTTTGCTGCTGCTGCTGCTGCTGCTGAACTTAAACCCTACTGCAGCAGGGGCCCCCACTGCTTCCTTGCTATTTGCTGCAGCAGCAACAAGCTGCTGCTCATGCTGTCTGTACACACTGGGTATGTACAGGGCACAAAAGGGGCCCCCTGGGGGCCCCTCTGGGGGCCCCCCTGGGGGCCCCCAAAAATTAATTTTTCTAAAGCAACATAGGGACTGCTTCCTGCTGCTGCTGCAGTTGCTGCCGCTTTAGTTTCTGCGAACTCGCTCAAGAAGACACCTGCGGTCACGCCGCTGCTGCTGTTGCTGCTGCAGCTGCTGCTGACCTTACCGTTGCGGCTGACACTGTCGCTGCTGCTGCTGCTGCTGCTGCTTCTTGTAAGTGTGGAAGCAGCAGCAAGACACATGTGCAGCTGAGCGCAGCGGATGCAGGAGAGGCTTTGCAGGTACCTGTTTCTGCCGCTGCTGCTGCTGCTGCTGCTGCTTGCTTTGCTGCTGCTGCCGTTGCTGCTGCTAGCTGATGCCCGCCTGCTTGCCTTCCTTGTGGGGCTGAACTCGCCTCGCCTTTTTTGACTCTTTCTCTTCGGTGCTGCTGCTGCATCTGCTGCTGCTGCTGCAGCATTTGCAGCGTTTGCTGCTGCTGCATCTGCTGCTGCGTCTGCATCTGCCACTGCGTCTGCTGCTGCTGCGTCTGCTGCTTCTGCTGCTGCGTCCGCATTGGCTGTTGCTTCGGCCGGCGCATTGGCTGCTGCTGCGTCTGCCGCTGCAGCAGCAGCAGCCACAGCAGCAGCAGCAGCAGCAGCAGCAGCAGGTTCTCTCTTCTGCAGCCTCCTTATATGTTCTTCTCTTGAATAACAAAACCCAACAAGAGACAAACACCTTTCGCCATACTGCTGCTGCAGTCGAGCAGCAAAACCTGGCGTTATATGAATGCCCTCAACTAATATCAATTCTAATGGGGGGCCCCCCCGGGGGCCCCCCTGAGGGCCCCCTTGGGGCCCGCTGGGGGCCCCCGCTGCAGCTGCAGCAGCTGACGGGGGCCCCATGAGGGAAGCAATGAGGGGCTCGAGCAGCAGCTGCTGCAGCAGCAGCGCCTGCTGCAGCAGACCCAGGAGGGAGCAGCAGGGGGCCCCCTCTTTGCAGACGAGGCAGCAGCCAGCTGAGGGGCCCCCCTTGAAGAAGCTGAGTTCTTCCTTCATGTTTGCTTCTATTTTGCTGCGCACTGTTGCTGCTGCTACTGCTCCCGCTGCTGCTGCTGCTGCTGCTGCTGCTGCTGCAGGTAAGCTGCTGCTCAGCTGCTCCGCAGCCAAATGCTTCAGCTGGTAAGTGCTGCTGAACAGCAGCTGCCGCACAAGGTAGTCTTGGGGGCCCCCGGAGGCCCCTCGTTTTCTTCCTGCTGCTGCTGCTGCTGCTGCTGGCGCCGCTGCTGCTGCTGCTGCTGCTGCTGGAGCCGCTGCTGCTGCTGCTGCTCTAAGGAGCTGCCTGAACCCGTCAGTGGACAGCAGCAAGTAAGGCGGTGGCGCTCCCTTTGCTGCTGCTGCTGCTGCTGCTCCTTTTGCTGCAGCAGGAAGCGACAGCTGCGGAAATGTTAGAGACAGTAAGTGCAGCAGCAGCGGCAGCAGCGAGCTCTTGCCGCTGCCCGAAGCGCCTCCCAGCAGCAGCAGCAGGGGCCCCCCTGAAGGGGACCCCTGCTGCTGCTGCTGCTGCAGCAGCGGGGGCCCCCTAGCGAGCGACAGGGGCCACCCAGCAGCACCTAAGGCCCCGCCCAAGGGGGGCCCCTGCTGCTTCTTCACCTTCCTGTTTTTGGCTGAACCATTTGCTGCGGCTGCTGCTTCTGCTGCTGCTTCTGCTGCTGCTGCTGTTGCTGGCGTTACTGCTGCTGCTGCTGCTGCTGCTGATGCTGCTGATGCTGCTGGAGACTGCACTGTAACTGAAAGCCTAGGGAGGCGAACGGCTGCCTCGGCGACGCCAGCAGCAGCAACAGCAAGGGCCCTGTTGAATCGTGCTGCTGCTGTTGCTGCTGCTATTGCTGCTGCTGCTGCTGCTGCTTCTGCTGTTTCTGCTGCTGCTGCTGCTTCTGCTGTTTCTGTTGCTGCAGCGGGGGCCTCAGGTGACTTCGAAACGTCCCCCAGCTCAGTCCAGCTTTGCTGCGGAGCAGCAACGGAAGCTTTGCTGCTGCTCTCGCTACTGCTTCCGCTGCTGCTGCTGCTGCTGCTGCTGCTGCTAGAGATGAGGGGCTTCTCTGAGATTGCCAGTCCAGTGAACGGCACCAGAGTTGGGTAAGTAATGCGGCACATGAAGCTGCTGCTGCTGCTGCCGTTGCTGCTGCTGCAGTTGCTGCTGCTGCCGTTGCTGCTGCTACCGTTGCTGATGCTTCCGTTGCTGCTGCTGCTGTTGCTGCTGCTGCTGTTGCTGCTGCAGCTGCAGCTGCAAACTTCGATCTTGGGCACCCTGTCGAGACACTTGGTGACAGTCTCTATCAGTGCATCGCTTAAGACCTGCTGTTGCTGCTGCTGCTGCTGTCGCTGCTGCTGCTGCTGCGAATCACAAACGTCTTCGCGTGCTGCTGCTGCTGCTGCAGCAGGCTGTTGCTCCTTCTTCGGCCTCTTGGCCGAGTCGGTCGAAAACGACGCTGTCGTTGCTGCTGCTGTGGTCGTTGCTACTGCTGCTGCGGTTGTTGCTGCTGCTGCTGCAGTCGTTGCTGCTGCTGCTGCTGCCGTCGCTAGCAGGGCCGACTGGCGCGGTGGGGGCCCCCGCCTCATTTCGGGCTTGCTGCTGGCAGCAAAAGAGGAGGCGCATGCAAATTGGGTTTTAGATGAAGTTTTAAAATTATTAATTTAATTTGTTTTGAAGAAGAAGAGCGGCGAGCTGGCGTGCCGGCGCCAGACAGCTTATTGGGGGCTGGAGTGTATGTACAGCTGAGCCTTGCTGCGGCTGAACTCCCGTCTGCTGCTGCGAAATTAAAAGCAAATAAATATTAAACTTCATTTATTTAAATTCAAAACAAGTTTGTGAAGCAAACTGGCCGCGGGAGAGTCCCGATGCTGCAACAGACACACGATGACCGCAGCAGCAGCAGCAGCAGCAGCTGCTGCTGCTGCTGCTGCTGATTTCGATGGCTGTTTGAGACAGAACCCGAGGCCTGCAGCCCCCACTGAAGAACTCAGCATGAAAACTCAAATGTACTTTAATTGAATATTTAACTGCTTCAAATTTGCAGCACAATCAAACGAACAGCAGCAAACAACTGAGACAAGCGCTCAACTGCTGTTGCTGCTGCTGCTGCTGCTGCTGCTGCGCTAGCTGCAGCAGCAGTTCTGCATCACTTGGGGGGATCAGCTATAAAGGATGAGGAGAAAAGGGGCAGTTTAATCACTGCCCATGTTACATCCACAACCTAAACCCCAAACCCTAAACCCTAAACCCTGAACCCTAAACCCTAGCCTCTACACACTCTGCCCCCGCGGCGAGCGAAACCACTAAAGGCAACTTCTAAGAGACCTGGACTGTAAACTGCAAGCTCTAAACCCTAAACACGAAACCCTAAACTAGGGTTTAGTTATAGGGGGTCTCGTGCCCTTTCGGCCTCAAGTGCCTTCACACCGCAAGTGCTCGTGCTGCTTCTGCTGCTGCTGCTGCTGTTGCTGCTGCTGCTGTTGCTGTCGCTGTAGTGCAGCTGCTCATGGTACTGCTGATGCCGCTGCTTGTGCAGCGAGGATTGCAAACAAAGTTTCAGCTGCAGCAGCTGCAGCTGTTTCGCTGCTGTTGCTGTGTCTGCTGCTGCTGCCGTGTCTGCTGCTGTTGCCGTGTCTGCTGCTGCTGCTGTGTCTGCTGCTGCTGCTGTGCTGCTGCTGCTGCTGCTGAAAGTGAGCTTCTGCAGTACTCCTGAGCTTGTGTTTTGTGAATATAATGTAGACTGAATTAATGTAATTTTGATTTATAAATAATTAAAATGAATTTGCCGATTCAGAATTAACTTTTTTGGCAAAAAGAAAAGAAAGCGATAAAGCGCTTGCTGCAACGCAGCCGTAGCTCCTGCTGCTGCTGCTGCTGCTGCTGCTGCTGCTGCTGCTGCTGCTGTTGGTAATTTTGCTGGCTCAGCTGCTGCTGCCGCATTCGCTGCTGCTGCTTCTGTCGCTGCCTTCCTGTGCACGCCGAGCAGCAGCAAGAATAGTAGCAGCAGCAGCAGCAGCAGCAGCAGCAAAGCTGGTCCCGACAAATACGGACTCAGAAATCATCATCACTTAAATCTGCAAAGACAAACACAAAAGCCCCTCAGCAATTTAAACAACTCAACTAATTAGTTTGAACATTTTAATTATTTATTATTCAATTTAATTTAATTTAATTTAATTTCATTAATTCAATTAATTTTAATTAAATTAATTTAATTAATTTACTACCTGCTGAAGAGTCTGAAGAGACACTTCCCTCGGAGGCCCTCAGCCGCTTCGCGGGGGGCCCCAGGCCCCTCTGCAGCAGCAGAAATAAATAAATAAATAGACAAATAAACAAATAAATAAAATAAAGAAACTACTTATTAAAAATGAATTCAAGCAGCACCAAAAGCAGCTTACGGATTCGTCTACTGCAGTTTGTTGCAGCGGGGCAGCAGCAGCAGCAACGCCTTGCTGTGGGGCCCCTGCTGCTGCTGCTGCTGCTTGGTTCTGCGACTGCAGCACTTGGCCTCTGCACCACTGGACCATTTCTCTGAAGCAGCAGCAAAAGAAGTGACAGGCACAAGGCCCTGCCTCTGCAGCAGAAGTATCAGCAGCAGCAGCAGCAGCAGGAACGGCAGCAGCAGCAGAAACGCCGCGCCACCCGGCGCGGACCACCAGCTGCAGCAGCAGCTGCAGCATCTGCTGCAGCCGGGGCCGCAAATACAACGCCCCACGCAGCTGCAGCAGCAATGAAAGCACGAGCAGCAGCAGCAGCAACAACAGCAGCAGCAGCAACAGCAGCAGCAGCAGCAGCAGCAGCAGCACCTGAAGACGAATGGCAGCGTGGCGCCATCATCGAGTTCGACTTCTCCCGTGTCGAAGGAAATCCACTTGGCCCTGTCTTTGAAGGTGTTGTACAGCTGCAGCTCAAACCCAAGCCCTAAACCCTAAACCCTAAACCCTAAACCCTAAACCCTAAACCCTAAACCCTAAACCCTAGATGCAGACTAAATGATGAAACTAATTGAATAAAACAAGTTGGGGACTCACTTGGAAGTGGGCGTCCATGTTCATTTGGGCCAGCAGCTCCTGGAAGGCCTGGCGCTCCTCCACAGACACGGGCGCATCTGCTGCTGCTGCTGCTGCTGCTGCTGCTGCTGCTGGCGTTCCCTTTGCGGCCCTGGTTTTTCCGCGACCTGCAGCAGAGCCAACGCACACGAACCCCGCGGAGCACTCCGCTCGAACTGCGAAAGCCGCGGGCCCCGCGCTGCTGCTGCTGCGGCTGCCGCTGCAGCTGCTGCTGCACTTGCTGCAGCAGCAGCAGCAGGCGCAGGCGCAGCAGGCGCTTCGGCGCGCGCCGGCCGCTCACCGTCGGCAGCTTCCCTGTGTTTCCTGGCGTCCGGCGCGCCGGCAGCGTGCTGCCAGTGCGCGGGGTCGCCCTGCTGCTGCTGCTGCTGCTGCTGCTGCTGCTGCTGCTGCTGCTGCTGGAAGGCCGCAGCGAGCGGCTCGCCGGCCGCCAAGGCCCCGAAGGCGAGCGCAGCCTCGTGGGCCATCATCCAGTACTGGTGGCCGGGCTGGTAGAAGCGGAAGGCGCAGAGAAAGACACTGTAGACTTCGTTGAAAACTTCCGCGCTGCTGCTGTAGCAGCCCTGCTGCAGCCGCTGCAGCACCGTCTCCAGACTCAGCGGCACCGCAGGGTACACCTTCCGCGCCAGCTCGCCGTAGTGCGCGTCTTTCGGAGACACTTTTGGCAAAAAGGGGAGACACACGGGCTGTTTGCAGAGCTCCACCAGAATCCGCTGCATCCGCGGCGCCCAGTCCTCCCCGGGGGCCCCCGGGGGGCCCCC